AATTGCTTTTTTTGGTGGTACTAGAGTTTGAACTCAGGGCCTCAAGTTTCCTAAGCAGGATCTCTTATTACCTGATCCACTTTGCCAGCCCTTTTTTTAATGATGGCTTTTTCCAGATAGGGGTTTGCAAATGCTTTGCCCAGGTTGTCATCCAGCCAAAAGCCTCCTGATCTCTGCTTCCTGAGTAGCTAGGAATACAGGCATGAGTCACTGACTCCAGACTGAAATTGTAGAATTTTATGTATCTCTTTGGCCCACACATATTGGTGGAATGAGCTCTTTCTAAGGATATGTGACATCCCTTTCCTTCTTCTACCTGTTGACATTCCCAAATAAAAGATATAATTTTGATTTATGTGTATGCTGAATTATCCTTCCTGATTCCTGTCTAGTTTGTCATTCAGAGTAGTCTACAAGAACATAGGTACAAATATCTGATGTCTGTCTCTCTATTTAGTCACATGGGATGCACTCACTTCACTAAGAAGCAATTTTTTTTTTTTCCCTGTGGGACTGGGGCTGAAAGTCAAGGCCTGGTGCTTCCTAGGCTGGCATTCTAATCTTTCAGACACTACATCAGGTGGTTTTTTCAGGGATTTTTGAGATACTATTGGGCAAACTGTTTCCCTGGATTGCCTTCCAACCTTGATCTTCCTGATGTTTGCTTTCCTGTACAATCAAATGGCTGGTTTTTTTTGGTCTGGTTTTCTTGTTTGGTTTTGTTTGAATTTTTTGTAGTTGTTTTGAACTCAGGTCCTTCATGCTTACTCTCACTTCTTGAGACACTGTCCCAGCCCTTTTCTGTGATGGGATTTTTGAGATAAGGTCTCATGAACTATTTGTCCAGGTCTGGTTTGAAACTGCTACCCTCTGGATGTGTGACTCCTGAGTCACTAGGATTATGCACATGAACACCAGTGTGCTTGAGCCAATTGAAATTTTGAGTCCTTTGAACATTGTGTCTGCATTTCCCCCACATCTTTTGTATTCAAGATTGTTTTCCATTATCAGAAATTTATTGAAAAACTTACAGAAAATAGAAGGTCATTTTCTTATGCCTCAGAAAATCAAATATGGTTGCATTATCTTGGAGAGTCACTAAATTATGAGGATTTCTGTGAGAAAATATAAATTCAGGAACTTTTATAGGTCAGTAGTATCCCTTTCTTCTAAAAGAGCAACCTTCTGTGATCCTGGCTTCTCCTCCTGTAGGTGACACTGAACTGTTGAACATCCCACACAGGGAAGCACTGTTTGCACATGGCTGAAAACTGTGGTAATCTTGTCGCCACCTGAACATTTTACATCCATAAAATACAAATTTAGACTTGGAACTAATGATTTTTTTTTTAATGTTTTTTCTTTTCCTTTTGCAAGGAAAGATGTAGAAATCTCTAACCAAAGTCATGTTTAGTCCTTTGGCAAGCCTAATGCGTCTCAATCACCCAGGTAACAGCCACCTCCAGCAAGCAGCATGTGAGCTAAGACTTTTTGTATGGAAAATAATGTGTAAAGAACATATCTGTGTCCAGCACCTGATGACATCCTTTATCATACCACCTCTTAGGTTGATTGAATGGCAACAGAGTGAACCCCATACAAGTGTCACTTTACCTGCCCTGATTTTTCATCCCAGCCTATTGCCACTGACCCTTAAACTCCTAGTCCCACTCTCACATGCTGTACTCCCATCCTTAGAATAGGTACACTTCCTAGGCATACCTGGCTGAGAGGTTCTGCTGTGCCTTCTGCATTGTGGCTGTCTGGGGATATGTGACATAGTGATGGAGCACTGGGTTTTGACTTCAGGGCCTCCTGCTTGCTAGGCAGCCACTCTTTCCACTCGAGCTATTCCACCAGTCCTGTGTTGGGTGTTTTTGAGATAGGGTCTCTGGACATATTTCCTCCTGATCTCTGTTCCCGTGAGGTACGAAAGCAGGCATGGTTCACCAGAGTCAGCAACCTGCAGTATCTAAATCTTTGATGGAGCCTGCATTTTTGTCATACCTGAATTCCTTTATGTAGCCAAGGTAAAATAATTTCTCATATCCTTTGAGACTATGAAGTTCAGGTTTTACATTTAGGTCTGTAATCCATATAGATTAAATACATTCTAGGCATGAGCTGCTGTGCATAGCTTCTTTTTATTTTTGATGTTGTTATTTTTATTTTAGTATGACAGGATGAAGTATGGACAAGGGTTTTAGCTAGTGAAAGAAATGGAGAAATAGTTCCTGTCCCCACCCAGAAAATGAAACAAAAACTCCTGTATTTTTCTTTTTTTAATATACAGTCTCCCTAAGTAGCCCAGAATGATAGTGAACTCACAATCCATCTTTTTCCTCCCATATGCTGAGCTCAGTGGCTGGAATGAAGATTTTTATGGGGTGTATTCACATACTTTTTGCATATTTTATGCTGATATACCAAATTGTCAATGGAACAGTAACATGTTTAAAAAGAACAACAACAAAAGTACTTGATAGGCTAGGAATGTGTGGCTTAATGGTAGAGTATTTGCTTAGCAAGCACAACACCCTGGATCCAATCTCCAGCACCACACACAAACACAAAAAATGAAGGTGAGATATTTTGGCTGGCCAAAATGCAGTGATGGATTCAACTTTAAACTTGTCTACTGAGAGGTGTTTGAACTGTGAAAGGTAGCTTCTCCTTGGGGGCACACTTTGCAATTGCTTTTTGCAAAGGAAGTGCAGGATTTTGTCATTGGTACAGAACTGTCTGTGCTATGAGTTGACATTGAGTAAACTTACATACAATTTATCATCCAATCCTTTCTCTGAAGATGGCCAGCCTTCAACTTTAAAATAGTCTACTGGGAGGTGGTTAAACTGTGGAATTAGTGCCTACTGGGGGCATGGTTTGAAAAACATATACCTGTCCCTGGCCCCTTCCTGTCACACTGTCTTCTTCCTTTCCCCATAGGATTAGCTGCTTTACTAGGATTGCAGATACTAGCCAACCTACACCCAACTGCAGACTTGTGTTTTCTGTTGTTCATTGTTGCGGAATCTTTTTTTGCAGTGAAATAGCAGGAAATAAAATTTAGGGACTCTTTCTCTCGGTGTGTATAGTGACTTTCTCATTTTCCCCATTCCTTTGGTTAAGGTTACATGAACTAGTATTCATTGTCTGGTTAGCAGAGGGGGGGAAACAAAAATGAATGTAAAAGTCATGTCTTTTATTTTCAGTTCCTTGAAAATCACATCAGATGGAGGACAGGGACCAGGATACAATGGAAAAAATGCAACAAAAATGTCCCCCCCCCCAAGAGTTGCATGGAAGGAGAGGTGGACAGTATCTGCCAAACAGAATCTTTTTGGTTCACCCTGAAATCTACCCTCTGCATCCAAGTGCTTTCCAAAGTCATGCAATTGGTTTTTGCGAAGGAAATGAAGCATTCTGTCATTGGTACTATGCTGAGTTGAAACTGACTAAAACTTAGTACAATTTACCATTCAATCCTTTTTCTGAAAATTGACAACCCTTCAGTAGATTCCTGAGTCTTGAAATACCCCCATGGGAGAGGGGTTGGCAGTGAAATTTTTTCTTAGGGGGAATAAATTCAACATATTCTTTAATCTGCCATGTCTTCTGTATCCTGTCCCCTGCCTATGTAAATAAATATACTATTTTGGGACTCAGTTTAAATGTCCCTACCTCAGCAAGTGTCCTTACTCTCACTTCAATTAGCTTTATTGCTTTCTTGAAGACTTCTGTCATTAGAAAGAAATTCTTCTGAATAGTTCATAAAACCTTTAGTTTTATGAATTGTTACTACTTAAATAATGTTGTTCCCTCTTGCCGTGACATTAGCTTTAATTTCCACACAGCCTCTTTGAAGTGTGGATTTGTAAGTGTTGTGCTGAGACTTCTGGTATTTACAAATACCAGTTTAGAGTGTTCTGTGTGTGTTATTGAACACGTTGTGTGTGAAAGGATAGGGAAAAGAGAATCAAAATGTTATCTTCCACCCACAACATGAGTGATTCCTGGAAGACAGTTTCAAATGAATAATTTAAATTGAACAGCATAAGAAAGTCTCAGTTGGATTGAAGAAAGGGAGAGTTACAATGCTTGACATGATCGGCTGCTGGGGAATAATGGCCCATTCCTTTAATCCTGGCTACATAAGAGTTTGATATTGGGAGCTTCTGTTTCCAAGCAGCCAGGCCAAATAATTTAAGAGATCCCATCTCCAATAGTAGCAGAACTAAATGGACTGGAGGAATGGCTCAAGTGGTAGAGAGGCTACTTTGCAAGGAAGAAGTCCTGTATCCAAACCCCCGTACCACCAGAAACAGGAGACAGAGATTAGGAGGATCATGATTCAAAGCCAGCTTGTCAAATAGTTCATGGGACTCTATCATGGAATTCCCTTCACAAAAAAAATGACTGGTGGATTGGCTCAAGGTATAGGGTCTATGTTAAAACTCCAGTACAGGAAAAAAAAAAAAAAATTCCATGTTGAAAGTTCCTAAAATGAAAGTTCCTCTTTCATTTTACCTGATGAGTTAATGCCACCAAAGTTCGAAGCACAGTTGAACGTTGTGTTCAAACATACCTAAGAATACATAGTCTCAGGACAAGTGGTTTTTGTTTGTTTTGTTTTTTCTTTTTTTCCTTGTGGGAGTGTGGCTTGAACTCAGGGCATGCTTACCAGCCCTAGTGATGCTAATTGTCTTGTGCAAGCTGAATTGCAGTTCAGCATTATGACAGGAATTATAGACCCACTCTTTAATAAGAAATTGGGGTGGTTCAGTTTATTCTGCTACTGCTGCTGTTTTCACAATTATTTTCAGGCTAGTATTAAAAGTGCTATGTGAAAGAGTGTGGTGTTGCATGAAGAACACGTGTTTAATGCCCAAGACATGGAATGAATATTTTGAGAACACAGCATCATGTGAACACTTGAAGTCTATATCTTACAGTACTGTCAGTCTGACATTCCTCCTTGAAATACACTTGTCATGTTTTAGGCACCTGTGACCTTTGATGATGTGTGTGTCAAGTTCACCCAGGAAGAGTGGGCTTTGCTGGATCCTTCACAACAGAAGCTGTACTGGGATGTGATGGTAGAAACCTTCAGGAACCTGGCCTCTGTTGGTAAGGATGACTTCATTCCCTTAGTCAATGAGAGAACCAGTGTTTGTTGCTCTTCCATGCTTTGGAATAATTTGGAAAGTGGAAACCATAATTAGTGAATATATATCATATTATACCATAAGCCTATTTGTAATCTATTTGTTTATCTATAGTAATGTTATTCAAAATGTTTTCTTTTTCTGTCTCTATTTTATAAAAAAAAGCAAACAAAAAAACAGAGGAAGATCAGACCAATGAAGACGTTTACAGAAATTCCAGAAGAAATCTAAGGTAATTTGCACTCACAACAGAAAGCAACATAGTGAAGGAAAGGAATGTGAAACAGATCATGTGAAGGAGAGGTCAGTAGTGAGAGGGGAGAGGGTAAATGAAGAGGGTCAAGAGGGTATGGTTGATTTGCCTTTTTTTGGCAGGGTTGGGGGAAGGAGTTGTGGTTTGAAATCTGTCCTTGGAACTGGCAAGGCAGGCATTCTAACACTTGCAGCATCCCTCCAGTTTGTTTTGCTCTGAGTTTGTTGGACATCGGTCTTGAGAAATATTTGCCCTGGTGGGCCTTGAACCTGGATCCTCTAAGTCTCATTCTCCCTAGTAGCTAGGATTACAGGAGCTAGCCACTCCCCCACCATATTTGATGTACTTTCTGCACATGCATTTATATAAAACAATGAAACCTGGGCAGGAAGAACAATGAAAGAGGGGATGAAACAAACTGGGATATAATATATGTATATATGGAAATTCACAATGAAAGCCCATGTCCATATAGTAATACAAATATCAAAAAGAAAAGAGAGGGAACAAGAAGTGTCACTTAAGAATCAAAGAGGACTATAGGTGTGTCCCAACTGATAGAGTACATGTGTAGCAGGTGTGAAGTACCAAGTTCAAACCCCAGTCCATTAAAAAAGATGAGTCAAAGGAGTCAGGGTGATACTGCATTTTTTTTTCTTTTGTGCTCAGGATTAAGCTCTGGGCCTCCAGCCTGCTACACAAGTGCTCTACCACTTGAGCCATTCTGACAATCTAGAGTAAAATTTGTCAAAAAGGAAATGATGTTGTGGGCTGGTAGACTTTCTCAAGTGAACCAGTATACTGCTAACCCAGCCAGTGTGAGGGCTGCTTTTCAAGCAGCAGGCCTTGGGTTCAAACCTTGTCCTTAACCAAAACCAAAACAAGTGGTTTTTGTTGTTGTTGTTGTTGTTGTTGCTGTTGCACCACCATGAGGCAACATGCTAGTGTATCATATCTGTAATCATAGGTACTTGGGAGACAGATCAGGACGATCAAAATTTGAAACCATCCTCCAGCAAAGAGTTCTTAAAACACTAACTCAAAACTGCCTAACACTACCTGGCAGACTGGTGCAGAGTGCCTGCCTAGCAACTGTGAGGCCTTCAGTTCAAACACCAGCACTACACACAAAAATAAACCTAGGAAATTCCAATCCAAAATTTTCCAATATCAGAAATGTGTAATACCAACATGATGCCCCAGTGATAATCTGCAGTTTTCATGTACAAAACCTTTCATTTAATATATTGTGAAAAATATTATATGAACTTTCCTTCATGGTATGAATGTATGGAGCATTTGCAGAAAATGAATATTGTGTTTGGATTGGTGCCTATAATCTTCATTACAGCTTGTTATGATTATGCAAGTACTTCAAAATCTAAATGATTTTGGTCATACCTTTTCCATGTACAATCCTCAAATGCACTTAAATGTAAAGCAGATAGTATTTGCAAAATACTGGGACAGAATCTTTAGATACCTGTAACAGTACCACTGGTTTGATAATATATTTCCTGGACCCATCTTGCATGTTCAAAAATTCTTTAAGGCCATAAAACCATTACTTCTCCTGGTATGTATTTGAAAATATAACTTAGTAATATGTTTCTCATTTCTAGAAGTCAAGTTGTAGGGAGATTCTGTGAACACAAAGAAGATATTGAGTGTGGAGAAGTCTTCATCCAAACTCCAGATCATATTATGAGCAATAACACTCCTGCTAGAGTGGGAACAAATGAAAACTGTGTGTGTACAGAAGTCTTCATCAGGCATCCATCCCTGAGTTGGCCCTTCAGGACTCAGAGTGGACCTGAGCCACACGAGTATCAGGGATATGGAGAAAAGCCACTTAAATGGAAGGATTCTGGGAAAACCTTTCCTGATTCCAGATTTCTTAAATGGCATGAAAGAAGTCACACTGGAGAGACACCCTTTGTATGTAAGCAGTGTGGAAAAGCCTCCTTTCATTTTAGTGGCCTTTGCAAACATGAACTGATTCATGGTGGAGAAAAACCGTATGTTTGTAAGCAATCTGGGAAACCCATGTCACATTTGTGTGCTGTTGAAAACCATGAAAGAACTTCCATTACAGAGAAACTCTATGTATGCAAGCAATGTGGAAAAGCCTTTAGTTCTTCCAGTTACCTGAAAACACATGAAAGAACTCACACTGGAGAGAAGCTGTTTGCATGTAAGCAATGTCAAAAAACCTTTACTTCATCCAGTTCTCTCATAATACATGAAAGAATTCACACGGGTTCAAAACCTTATGCATGCAAACAATGTAGAAAAGACTTCTATTGTTCCAGTAAACTTCAAAGACATGTAAAATCTCACAGTGGTGAGAAGCCCTATGTATGTAAGCAGTGTGGAAAAGCTTTTAGTTCTTCCAGTTACCTGAAAACGCATGAAAGAACTCACACTGGAGAGAAGCCCTTTGCATGTAAGCAATGTGGAAAAGCCTTTAGTACATCTGGTTACCTCAAAACACACGAACGGATTCATACTGGAGCAAAACCGTATGCATGTAAACAATGTGGGAAAGCCTTCTGTCGGTCCAGTGACTTTAGAATACATGAAAAAAGTCACTATGGTGAGAAACCCTATGTATGTCCACAATGCGGAAAAGCTTTTATTTGTTCCAGTTACCTCAAAAAACATGGCCGAATTCACAGTGAAGAGAAGGTCTTTGCATGTAAGCAGTGTGGAAAAACCTTTAATTCATCCATTTGCCTCAAAATACATGAACGAATTCACACTGGAGCAAAACGTTATGCATGTAAACAATGTGGAAAAGCCTTCTGTTGGTCCAGTAAACTTCAAAGACATGTAAAATCTCACAGTGGTGAAAAACCCTATGTATGTGAGCAGTGTGGAAAAGCTTTTAGTTGTTCCAGTTACCTTAAAACACATGAAAGAAGTCACACTGGAGAGAAGCCCTTTGCATGTAAGCAATGTGGAAAAGCCTTTAGTACATTTGGTTCCCTCAAAACACATGAACGGATTCATACTGGAGCAAAGCCGTATGCATGTAAACAATGTGGGAAAGCCTTCTGTCGGTCCAGTGACTTTAGAATACATGAAAAAAGTCACTATGGTGAGAAACCCTTTGTATGTACGCAATGTGGAAAAGCTTTTATTTGTTCCAGTTACCTCAAAAAACATGGGCGAATTCACAGTGAAGGGAAGACCTTTGCATGTAAGCAGTGTGAAAAAACCTTTAATTCATCCTTTTGCCTCAAAAAACATGAACAAATTCACACTGGAGCAAAACGTTATGCATGTAAACAATGTGGAAAAGCCTTCTTTTGGCCCAGTAAACTTCAAAGACATGTAAAATCTCACAGTGGTGAAAAACCCTATGTATGTGAGCAGTGTGGAAAAGCTTTTACTTCTTCCAGTTACCTCAAAACACATGAAAGAAGTCACACTGGAGAGAATCCCTTTGCATGTAAGCAATGTGGAAAAGTCCTTTGTACATATGGTTCCCTCAAAATACATGAAAGGATTCACACTGGAGCAAAACCTTATGCATGTAAACAATGTGGAAAAGCCTTCTATTGGTTCAATAAACTTCAAAGACATGTAAAAACTCACAGTGGTGAAAAACCCTATGTATGTGAGCAGTGTGGAAAAGCTTTTAGTTCTTCCAGTTACCTCAAAACACATGAAAGAAGTCACACTGGAGAGAATCCCTTTGTATGTAAGCAATGTGGGAAAGCCTTCTATTCATCCAGCGCATTTAGGAAACATGAACAAAGACATTCTGATGAGAATCCTATGGATGTAAGCAATGTGGAAAAGCCTTTATTTCCTCCAGTTCCCTCAAAACACATGAAGGTACTCACACTGGAGAGAAGACCTTTGCATGTACGCAATGTGGAAAAACCTTTCCTTCATCCAGGTACTTGAAAACACATGAAAGAATTCACACTGGAGTGAATTCTTACGAATGTACACAATGTAGGAAACCCTTCTATTCTTCCAGCGACCTTTGAAGACATACAAAAACTCAGTCTGGGGCAAAACCTATGTATGTTTAAGTGTGTTTAAGCCTACTTCAGTTGATTGTCTTGAAAGACATGAACCAAGTCACAATCATGTAATGTAGAAAGAAAATAAGGAGAGTCAATCCCTTCCCTGGGCTTATTCTCTTAGTTGCAGAAGTTTGTTGTGCATGTGATTGAATTAGCACTGGTTTCTTGCCAGAGCTGGAACATCTAATCATCCTGTTTTTGGGCTTAGAACTCACTTTTTGAGCTTGTATAATATAATTCCTAAAGGCTGGCAGAGTGGATCATGTGTTAACAGCACCAGCCTGACAAGGGTGAAGGCCCTGAGTTCAAGCCTGAGTGCTGCCCCACCCCCCAAAAAACCAGTAATATTTTTTATTTCAAAGATGACATCATAACAGAAATGGCAAATACTTGTTTGTTCTGTATGCAAATCACCTATTAAATCTATAATTGATATCTGGGTGCCATTGGGCTCACCTGTAATTCTACCTGTTTGGGAGCAAAGACCTACAAGATCAGAGGTTGAAGCCAGTGGGGTTAAATAGCTGTGAGAAGCTTCTTGAAAATACTTAGTAACATTGAGGGCTAACATGAAGTGGCTAAAGTGGTAGTGTTGTGGGAAATTACAAGCTAAGATACGGGACATCGATCCAGTTTAGCAGGAAGCAACGTTTTATTGTGCCATCACAGACCCAGCAGACTTGTGTCCAAAGTCTGAGCCTGAGAACAAAGAGGTCTCACCTTACATACCTTTGCAAACAGGTTACAGAAGCAAAATACAAAGCTCAACCCACTTGTGGCTGCATGTGACTTCATTGACTATTTTATTTCCCCAATTTTATGTGACCTTCATGTTTCAATTCTTTATCTCTCTGCTTTGTCATCCTTCCCCCTGTCTTGTCAGAATACAGAGTATCTGTTTCTTTTCTGGTCTTCTTCTCTGCTATATCATTTCCCCCTTTTATGCTTGGACCCGACTAGGGTCAAAGAACATCTTGATTTACTGGTTTGTATTTTTATAGCATCATTACATGTGTAGCTGTTTTGCCAGCAAATTGAGGGCTCTTGTAGTTTTATTAGTTATAATTTTAACAACAGTCTGTAGCCTGATGATGTAGTTGAGTATATATAGAGGTGTAATAGCCCCAGGACCTGTCTTTTGCCCAAGTGGCAGGGCCATAGTATTGGATGATTTGCTCAGGAGGCCATTCATCTTTCCAATTGCCAATTTATAAGGCACCCCATTTTGCCTATTTAATTTTTCTTTATATATGGGGACTCCCAGTTTTTTACCTTGTCTGAGGGGAAGCAGGAAAAAAGATGGTCTGATTGAGCCTAGCACACAAGATCCAAACCAGCTACTAGGTAGCTGTGTATAAGCTTGCTTCTCACAGATCCATTGTAGCCCCCTGGGTGCTTGCCAATCTATGTTTGTGGTAAGATTGTCTCAAGCTTTCCTGAAATTAGGGAAGCTGGCCAGTGGGTGGGGCTGGGGTTCTGTGTGGTTAGGAGCTCTCCATCATTGGGTATCTTAGGCAGTGTAATTCTGATGATGGAAGTCTTTAGGAGCCAGATGCCTTTCCTGTGCTTTGGGAAAGTAGTTTCATTAAAAGACTAGGGGCACACTAGATAGGTGGTATGGTTGTGACTGTATGACCTGATCACAGAGCCTGCACAGGAATAGTAAGTATGGAAAAGCATAGTCCTAGTGACAACACTTCCTGCCCAAGTAGTATGCATACATAGGTCACAGGATGAGGGATCTGGGACCATGAAGGGATACCATATCAGTAACGATAAACAGTATGTGTCCTGTCCAAAAGAGATAGAAGAGAGTTAGTAAATCCAATCAGCGGGGGCGGTTTCTGCCAAACCTATGGCAAAGACTAGGGTGAGAACTACAACAACATATACAAGGAGTCACAATGCATTATAGTGAAATAACTGGTGTAAAAACAGTCCGTTTGTCCCTTTGGAGAGTTGACTCCTAAGCTTCAACTGTGTGTAGACTAGTCAGCTTCCAGGGGTGACTAGAGCAGGGCTATCGTCCCACTGTTCTTAGTCCCCTACTGTTTCCTAGGAAGTGGAGACCTGCCGAGGGAGGGTGCTTAGGTTCTGGAGGGTGGTCTTACACCATGAAGCCAGATCAGGGATGCATTTCCATTTGAGAGAAGCTGGCTCGACTCGACTGGTGGATCCAAGGAGCAATCTCTGCCACTTTAACTGCAGTGGGAACAGACAAGACAACAACAGAAGGGCCCCTCTAATGGGGTATTAATGGCTGGACATTTTATTTTTTTATGCTGACAGTATCTCTTTTTTTTTAACTATATAGAATTACCATGGCAACAATATATTATCAGTATATTACAAGAAAATGCATTGTTTAAAAAAAAAGTTAAAACCACAATCTTTATGTATTAAAGGACATGGTTAGAGCCAGTAAAAATAGTTATTTTGTCTCTATTTAAGTAGAAGACTGTGTCTAAAAAATATGAGTTTGTATCTGGCTTTAATGCCAGATAGGCACACATGTATAAGAACCACTTCCTCAATCCTCCTGGCCTTCGTTATTTTTAGATATCTGGCATGAGTGACTCCATTTGAACTTTGATGGCATTCCCCCCTTGTCTCCAAACTGTTTGTCTCTGAGCAGTCTCTTTTGAAGATTTGTCTCCCATCCAAGTACTAATCAGGCCCAACCCTGCTTAGCTTCTGAGACCAGATGAGATTGGTCATGTTCAGGGTGCTATGGCCATAGACTGAAGATCTTTATTGATTGGTCATTTTCTTTTTTCATTGTGAGGATTTGTTCTTTCCTGGATTTTGGTTGATTGGTTGGTTTTGGTCCCACATGGCGGGGGCAGGGGGAGATATAATGAGCAGATCAGGTGGGAGTCAATGCCAACTAGATCCTTTTGGCCAAATTTAAGCAACAAAGAGGCTTAGAATGAGTGGCCCTTAGGCAATGGACTCTTAGACAAGGACAATATAAAACAAAACCCAACAAAAGATGTCTAAAAAGTTAACCTGGTTGACACATAAGCACTTACTAGAATCATTTTTTATGGACTTGATTGTAAATGGCCCAGAAAGATAAGAACTGTAATGACAAAAACTTAAAAGAGCCGTGGTTAAAATTTTAATGGACTATTTAGAACTAACTAACAGAATAGTATATCAGTGCCACTAACCTTTTGTTACCATGTTTATCTAAATTTTGTATTTTAGAAGACTTGATATACTTGAAAAACATAAATGTACTTAGCATAAGGAACCTGCAAGAGCATCATAGTTCTATAGAGGTTATAGATACATATTAGTTTAGTTGTTCTTGAAGTAAAACCATAGATTTTTTTCTTTTTATCAGTTTTAGGGGGGAAAAACAGTTTTAGTAAACCCAAATACCAGTCACAGACACATATTTAGTACCAACTATTAGAATCACCCAAGACAACAGTTGTTTAGCCATGAGGTCATCTAGAAAATTTTATATAAACTTAGAAAATAAGAGGTATGGAAGAGGCAGAGAGGCGGCTCAAACATCAGTACAGGATGAAGGAGTGGGACTAACATCTCTACTCTTTTGACTCCAACAAAAACTGGATGTCTTGACTTTTCGTGTAGTGCTCCTTTTTGACTTTTTAGTTTTTATCCTATCTGGAGGGTGCACGTTGGATTTTTTTTGTTTGTTTTTACTTTGCTTTACATAAGTAAGTCTGTCTCAACTTTCATATCAGTGCAGCAGTACTCCCTGTGCTCAGCTGCCTCTTGCCTCTCTGTGTTTTAATAAACTTTCCCTTGACAAATTTGTGGATTAACCTGTAGCACCAAAAATTCCTGACAGTTCTCTTGACAAAACAAAAACCATTTGTAAGACAGTTTTTGTAAATGGTATTAAGAATAATATTTTTAAGATAGTCTTGTTATGTATGAGCTTAGAGAGTTAAGTTTTAGTTTAACATCAGTACATTAAGTTTTGACCTTACAAAACCTGTAATGTAACTGGATTTTAGTCAAGTCAATCACTTGCATAAGCATTTATAATCTATCCTTTTATGACAACTTACTAGGTACCTTTATGACAACTTATTTTGTATCCCCTGAGGGAGTTTGTCTTTATCTTTTCTTTTTATTTAAAAGTATTCTTTATCCTTAAAAACCATATCTTTATGTTATATATATGTATGTTATTGAAATTAACTCATAAAACCTTTTAAATTAGAACCTTACATTTGCATGGAAAAAACCATAAACAAAACAACCTTAAAATTATTTTTTGCAGAAAAGCAAGTTATAGAAAGCCCATTTGTTAATAGACCCATGTATTATAAGAGAGAATGAAATCCCAGATTTTATTTATGGCAGAATGTAACATGTTAAGGTCATTTTTAACTACCCAACTTTTAAGATTTCTGTTGCAGACTGTAGCCTCCCTCTTTTTATTCTTTTCCCCTGGTCTAAGCCAGAGTGTTAACCCCTGAATGCCTCCATCCTAGTGAGACCTAATTGAAATAAGTTTGAAAACCTGCTTTCTTAAAAGTAGCAGTAGAACAGAGTAATTAATTTTTTTACATTTACTTTATAATAAGAACCATCCCCAAGATGTTTACATATTTAAATGTAAAAAGCTTAAGTAGTTTGTAACAGAGATCTTCAAACACCCCGGTTTTTTGTTACCTTGAATATCACATTAACCTTATAAGAGCAGTTTAATAACCAGTTTGAAGATGCTTACATACCCAAAAGTTCTATAAATTAAGTATGTCAAGCAAAAATGTTAACTTAAGCATGTATAAGATGAGCTGGAATTCCAGGAGCAAATTAAATTTTGCCCAGTGCTTTAAACAAATTTGCATACACACAATTAGAGTGCACTCTCAACAGAAAAAAACATTTAAATTATACTCAGAGGGCTATCCAGTGGAATGGTGGATGATGTATCTGTTCTCTTGGGCATCTTCTCCCTTTGGAACTGTATTTTTTTGTTACCCATCCCTTAACCTCAGTTGTGACTATTTCCCAGGAAAAGCTCAACCCTACTAAGTCTCAGAGTTTATATATGTCCCTAGAGAAAAATGGAATTATGTAATTTGCAGGAAAATGGATGGAGTTAGAGATCTTCATGTTAAGCAAATGAACAAGTCTCAGAAAGACATGCTTTATATACTATGCATAATCAAAAACTTTTACAAGAATGTGCAAGGGGGACTTTTTGAGGTGGAATCCATGGGAAAGGGATAGAAAAGACATTATCATCAGAGGATGCGTATGAAGGGGTACATTATATGCATCCATGCAATCAACACAATGAAGCCCATTGATCTAAAAGGCAGGGAGGAAGGAGTGGGAGGAGAAGAAAATGTAATAGGCGGGGATGAAAGTATATTATGGGATTGTATGGTAATGGTACAGTGAAACCTCCTTGTACAGTAATGTACACTAGTAAACACATGTTAAAACTCAAGTGGAAATCCAGGAAATATGTATAGATGATATATGTTAACAATAAACAAAAAAGAAGGGATGAGTAATTCAACTTGGTCCTGGAGGTGTGACTCAAGGAATACAAGCATGGCTAGCAGCAGGAGGAATATGTAATTCATTCCTTTCGATGAAATTATCACCCAGTTAATTTATGGTAGCTCATTTTTCCCAAGGCAGAGACTTTACCACCTGAACCATTCCTCCAAAACCAAAAACTTCAAAAAAGTAGTGATTTCAAAGGACAGCAGA